GGTTTTTCGATCGACGGACCATTATCATGCCCAGAAACATATATTTGTTAATTTACTAGATCACCTCGATGAAACGACTCAAAAAATTATGCATCTCCATAGAAGTTTGCATCCCAGATCATCCGTTCTACGGTTGTTCCGATCCCGAGTACAAGGAGGCCGAGAACTTTTGGGTTTGGAGTTTATGACAGAATGGAACTGGATCAAGCCTATGGAGTCCTCAGGATTCCGAATTCCCTTCTCTACGTGATCTGCGACCATAATAGAGTAGGAATTGGATAATTTTCCTTTGAGGCAGCTATTCGAGCGACTGATGCACACGGTTTAGATTTCGCCACTGAACGAGTTGAGAATAGCTCTGTCATTGAGATGGATCCGTTCAGAAAACGGCCAAATAAAAACCGTCAAAATCACTGCTCTACGGTGACAATACAAGATGGAGCCAACGTATGGGTTCTTCTTCAACAACATTGAAGACCTCAGCTTATCAAAACACAATCGATTTCATCAGTTCGAGGACTGAAGTCAGAAACTAAACTTTTCATCATGGCCTACCTGGATTGGGTCTTTGGCAAGTTAGTCTACCGTAATCCTGTAATGGATTTGAAGGTTCCTGATACGAGGTGCCTGAAACCTTGCGGTCGGCATATTCAGCATAGTGGGTCACAGCCTAACTGCAAAGACATAAACTCGTTTCCGTGTTGACTGAATTAACGGTAAATGTTGGGGAACAATCAAAGCTGCGCAATGTTTGGTATTACAGATCAGCTGAATGGAAGGATCTTCAAAAACATTTTCGAAATTTCTTATGCCTAGATGTTTGTTTCAGGTATAAAGATACATCAACTTTTGTTTCTGAAGTCATGGAAGTTATTCTATCATCCATGGATGCACATATTTCTTTTTCAATTAAACAACCTTGTAAAGGCTAACCTTGGTTTAAAAAAATGCGAGCAAGCTGTGGCCTCCAAACATCTCGCCTACTGGCAGTGGCGCCAAAATCCTAGTGCCAAAAACTGAACTACGTTTGTTGATGCTCGCAACAGCTGCAAATTTAGGACAAATGATAGCAAAGAACTCCACAGTCAGCAAATTAGGGATAAACTGCTTGCCAGTCCCAACGGGTCTAGATCCTTCTGTTCCGTAGCTAAAGCTGTTGATCAGAACTTTATACAACTGGTTGGTTCAATTACAACAACAGCCATTGAAAAAGCAAATCTACTATTGCTGAACAATTTGCTTCCCACTCAACGGTCGATTTTCTGGAAAAGGCACCACCCAATATTTCCACACTAGAATCCACAATGCCGGAAATTACTTTTCGACAGCGTCTCGTCAGGCGAATTTTGAAACAGTTCAAAAGCACTTCATCAAGTCTGCCCCTGATGAAGTGCCCGTTATAATACTCAAAAAGTGCGCAAATGAACATGGACAAACAACAGCTGTTGCGCTTAATATTTCTGAGACCTTTGACCGTGTATGCCATGAGGGTTCGCTGGCCAAACTTCGATGCTAAAGCTTGTCGGATTATTTTTGTGTATGGCTCTCCAGCTTTCTAAAAGAACGTTCCTTGAAAGTGGTCGTCGATAAATATTTTTCGAATTCTTTCACCATCAACGCCGAGGTTTCCCCAAGGATTCATATTGTCTGTATATCAACAACTTACTGGAAAAAAACCAAGAATCCAATATACTGCTTTACTGCTTTGTCGGTAAGTGTTCAAGTGACTTGGCACATTTGATTCCACCAAGAGCGGTACATATCAGAAATACATGATGAACTGTGGCTGCTCATCGTTTTGAGATTCAACTCACTACACCTCGAACTCCACTATTCATATCTCTCTTAGCACAGGCACCGCTATGAGAGCGTTTTGAGGATTTTTTCTGTACTGCTTGTGTTTTGTCCAAAAAAATCATAATAACCCCCCTCTACCGAGATACCTAGGGAGCAAGATGGCTATTCGAATTTCGTCAGCAGAATCAAATATATGGCATTTTGAGAAGATTCATATTTTCACATACGAGTTTGCTTTCATGTTCAATATTCATGAAAAATTACTTCTACATTCTCTCTGATCGAAGGCGATTCTCTTCTGGACGTGTAATATGTGACCTAAGTAATAGGATATAAAAAAGCGCATGCCCACAGCTCTTGATGAACATACTAGAAAAAAGTTTCGGAAGACACGCTAGTAAAATGATATATCCAAAACAAATAATTTTCACATCACTAGAAATGCAAAACTTTTCTCAACCCGCACTATTCGTTTTGGATTCATTATACGCCAGAGGTTCCAGTTTCACTGCTTTCTCTGCTTTCCTTTTTCCGCTTCACTGGTTTAGTGGGAGATGACCGTTTGGCGGGAGTTGGCCATTTTTCGCTTGATTATGGGTTTCCATATGTTGTGTACCTCTACACTAGCTTGGCTGAATACATTGTTGGATAACATGTATGCGGCTTCTTTGAATTTCCTCCTAAACCAATGTCCCTCTTTGTGTATGATCTCAGCCTGGGACCATTCGATGTTATGTTGATGGGTCCAAACAGGCTCTGCTATTCCTGATTTGCTGGTTTACCCTCGCTGTGTGTGTTTCTTGTGCTCGGCAATACGAACATTCAATGGCCTCTTAGTTTCACCGATATATGATTTCCCGCACTCACAGTGGCCTGGTTTTCGTGAGGCTGTTACGGATAGTGTGGGAAACATTTTTATACCAAAAACCCACTCACACGGGACAATATTTGAACCACGAATCCAACCACCATCAATCGACTGAAAGAGGAATCATCAAAACTCTATTAGAACGTGCTTTCGGGCTTTGTAATACGAAGGAAGGTCTCGAGAAGGAACTAGACACAATCAAAAATGGTCTTCAACGAAATGGCTACTCCAAAGCGATGGTGGAACAGACTTTGGCTAAAAGACAGCAGGAGACCCGTAAGGGAGAGAAGCCGTCACAACCAGTGCTTGTACTGGTTGTGACGATAAATCCAATTCCAAGAATTGCAATTATCGGATACCCTGTGATTGCGGAAAATCCTATATCGGTGAAACTAAGAGGCCATTGAATATTCGTATTGCCGAGCACAAGAAATATATACAGTAGAGCATGTTTGGACCCATAACATCGAATGGTCCCAAGCTGAGGTCATACACAAAGAGGAACATTGGTTTAGGAGGAAATTCAAAGCAGCCGCATACATGTTATCCAACAGTGTATTCAGCTAAGGTAGCGTAGAGATACACAACATATGGAAACCCATAATCAAGCGAAAAATGGCCAACTTCTGCCAAACGGTCATCTCCCACTAAACCAGTGAAGCGGAAAAAGGAAAGCAGAGATGAGTGAAAGTACTCAAATGACCTATAAATAGTCAGCTCACGGAGGAATCGGTCCAGTCATCACCAGAAGACGATTGTGGATACTAACAATCGAAATGCCGTAAATTAACTTGGCTTGGAATCTCCTAACTCTTTAATTTTTTATTGTATTTATATTTTTTTTAAATTTGTTCAATTTTTAATTGTATTTTACTTCACTATATTTCATTTCAGATGTTTTTGCTTAACATAATTGTTTTCCAGCTATTCATTTTATTCTTCTTTGATTTTTTAATTCTTCTTTTTAGTTATTTCAGGGATTTCAAATCATTTTATGTAATATCAGACAATGGAAGTCCGAACTAATGAAATTCATCAATTGTTCATGATATGCAAAGTGGCTTCAATTATTTTTCCCGAAAACAAAGCTATATATGAAGAAAACACAAGCGACGAAAAAGTTGTACTTATTTTCAGTTTCTCAATCTATAAAAATCAAAAACTACAAAAAACCAAATGGCGTTTTTTTTTCAATATTGTTGACTGTGGTGTCCTCTGAGACTCAAGTGGACCCACTACCAATTTCAGTCAAGTTAGGGCTAAATAAGCTTTTTATTAGTTCAAATAACTATAGCAAATTTCAACCAAATCGGTGTAAGGATATATATAATATTTTATAAATACCGCTTTTTTCAGAAAACTTCAACGCCCTGGATCTCAGAAACGAAGCAACTCTCAGAAACGAAGAACTGTTTTCTTAGAACCACCTAACGAATCACCCTCTGAATTCTGAGAAAAATGTATGCTCTATTTGTTTACTAATGATTTTTTCTCGATGCAGAACATGATAAAAGAGTTGAAGGCTGGACAGGTTTCATAGAGTTTTACTGCATTGGACATGATTAACCAACTGAAATGAACATAAATTGGTACTCATAACAACATCAACATTTTTGACAGGTAATTATAATTTTTTAATCTGAATAATTTTTATTGTCTATTCCTTCCTCTAGAAATGATCCTCAATCCCAACCTTAATGAATCAAAATGTGTGCAAACACGTAATTTTCACTTTCCCGTATAATAATTGAAGATCATACAATTTGGAAAATCATAAATTTGAACAAATTTCAACAGAATAAACTTGGTGCACTCATCCTTTCAGCTGCAAGATGAAACAACAAATACAGTATCGACCATTACCAACAACAAAATATATAATATTTAATTAAATCTGTTGTTTCATAAATAAACAATTTCGACAAATCTCTTGTCGTTAAAAACTCTTAGAAACTGAGCTTTCACATTCCTGAATGCTTCTCAGGTTATTCATTAATAAAATGATAAAATCAATAAACTTTGTATTCACCTAGAAACAATATTATATTTCTTCTGAAATGACTAATTTCTCTGGAGTATGTTTTATAGCCCACATTTCCAGTCGAAAACGACAAGGACAGCTGTCGACAGTGAGCCAAATAAATGAGTGTTTGCGGAATAAAATCAGCAGCTGCAGTAGCCGATCTATTCTAGGATCAGATAGATGGCTCTTCTGACTCGTTATTTTGTCCCAATTATTTTTGTTTTATGGCCGATGAAAAGTTGAATTATAGCTTTTAATCTTGTCGGCAATTTAAAGAATGTTAGTGGCAGTTTCGTAAAAAAAACACAGCTCGAGTTGGATATTAAATATATTTTCCACGAGATGGAGAAATAAAAACAACACATTAAAATTTAACAATATAAAATATAAAGTGTTCAAAAGTAGAGAGAATACATTGTGATATGAAAAAGAGGTTAGGTATACATAATTTATGACAGTCGGCTGTGGAATATGTTCATGAAAAACCATTACTGACAATATTTCCAATAGGTAATAAACTCTTATTTATTGGATAAGGCAATTTCACAATATCAACCACAGTGATCTTGGAACAATAATAAATTTCTCATGCTTGTTTCAACGAAGTTTTTTAATTATAGGGGATTAAATCAGTGGTTTTATTAAAAGTCACATTTTTGTTCCTGGAAGTGGAATTACTGTTTTCTCATTCATTCCAAGTCCAATCAACAAGCATTTTGACAAGTATTTTTATAGGTAAGATAAAAAGGTTGATGAAAAAACTTAATTGAGAAATAAGAACAACATAGTTTCATATAATAGAAAAATAAATTGGTGAATTGATATTAGAATTTGAAAATGTCATCATGAATTGAGAATTAAACAAAACATTTATTGCCATTTGACAATAACCTATTTCTGTCACTAATGGAAATGAAGAACTCAAACGGTTCGAGGTGATAGAAGATTATACTAGTAACTTGAGCGAAAATACAATAAATATTTTTTCACTGAGATCTGTACACAAATATACACTTCAAACTTACCCTCTAGGTGATTTAATCGATACCTCTATTATTAACAATCCAATATGTACAAAGATACCCAAAATGTCTCTTAAAAATGTACACAAGAACTGAAAGTGTTCACTTAAGTATAATGGAAAAGTTAATTTATTTTGGATGGAAGACAAAAACTATTAGGTACTCATTAATAAAGTTATGCAAAACACCATACAGCATCAATACGCGTTGAAAAATGTAAATCAAAGTAATCAAAAATATCAAAAAATAGATACATATTTCAAAAACATAAGATTTATTTTAAGTTTGCGAGAATGATTTAAATTTATGTATGAAGGTTGTTTGCATTTCTCAAGTGATTTTTTCACGATGGAATTGCGAAGAAAACAAATCTGAAGATTATTTCAGAGAATTGAACTCAAAATACAAAATGAGGAATATATGTCAGTAATTCAAACTTGAGAACAACTGTGCCTTAAATTTGAAGCAGCTCCCAAATATACCCAAGTGAACCTCAGTCATTCCGAAACAACAAATAAACAGTATCAATTAAAAATAATATCACACTGTCACGTCCACACAAAAATACACCGGTTGAAACAAATTTATTGATAGTTTTTAGGTAATCTTGTGAGACTAGTTAAAAATAGTCTATAGTAACACAGCTCCACATTATTTGGCTTAGCTTGACAAACACCCCTTACGGGTGCATCCCTGGGGCAGCCCCCAGTCTTGGCCCATACAACGAATAAGGTGACAGGTACGGCGAAAGACCTGGATGACCCAGTGGAAATCCAGCTAAGGACGAGGAACTTAGTGATGGAGGCAACAAGGAGGGTTTACTGTAAGGATGGTATCTAGCCGTAGCTAAGGGGCTTAAGGGAGGTGTAGGATAAGTCCTGTGGAGTAGTGGGTGGGTAGGAGACAGCCCAGGAGAACCCAGCATCGATAATGCTGAGCTGGTTTCTGTGATGGATCCACTAGTATGAGTCCTCAAGTGAGCTAGCAGCTCTTCCGAACTAGAAAATCGTTTGCCACAGTAAGCTGCGTCCCCCGATATCCAATTGCAAACGTAGGGTAGATGTGAGGCGGCTGCCAGGGCTGCCAACTGCGCGTGAGCGTATGCAGCAGCAGCCGGATTATGTCCCATGAACCCCACAGTAGTAGGAACCTTGGCGTGATCGCACTGCGCGCATCCAGCAGGGCATGCTGGAGGTTTAACACTAGCACCAAACAAATGAGAACTAACACTACAGCCGGTACAATAAGGATCTCGACACACCGTGGTCATAGTATCCTGCGCCTTCATGCGTCCATAGGCGAAGTAGGGAGCTAGTCCAGTCTTCAGGGCATGGTGCTGGCTCATCAGGCTGCTGCTCATCAGATCCATTGGTAGCGGATACCCTGCGGTGGGGTAGCCCATGAACGCTGACGTGGTAGGTGGCACACCTGGCTTGAAAGTACCCAGCGGAAGGTCCTTGATAGCTGGATCGGAAGAGGACGTAAGTATATTTGGAGTGAAAGCGGTCTTCGAACTGGAGGATGGTGTTTGCCGATCGCTAGACTTCTCAGGGCTGTTTATCCTCTCAGAGTACCCCTCAGCCGAGGGAGTTTTTCGCTCAGAACCTAAAGGAGATGCTCTTGGGGATGCACTACTCAGATTACTCGAACATCTTCCGTTGCTAGGGTTCTTTGTATTCACGGGAGTTCGGACCCTGCTTCCTGTTGAAGCTGTACTGGATCTCTCCTCAGGAGTTCGGGACTTTTCTCTCGAGGTGGGCACTTCGTGTTTGAAATTGTTTCTATGTGCGTTATCGGTCTTGTCTTTTTGACCGTCGACTTTGTTGGGCTTGGTGGGTTTTTCGGAAGACTGCAAAAGTTTTGCGTTTGGGGCGTCTGCTCCGATTTGACTGCATGTTTGGGCCAGTAGAGCTAGAGGACTCTTCTTTGCGTCCAACTGAAACAAAAAGAGAATTATGTTAGAGGTATTTATCAATTACGACTCGTTACTGTGTTTCATTTCACATAACTATGTAAAAATAACATTTATTTTGTGAATATTTTGAATACTGGAACATTAAGAATAATTTGTTTAGTATTTCTTGAACTAATCCATGTTAAGATAGGTATACCTATTATCTTTGTGAAATGTAGATAGTAATAAATGATACAGTATTCCAACCTAACCATTACTACAGTATACTATTGCAAGGAAAACTGTTTCATTTACATTCAACTTATTCAAAAACACTAATGTTTACGTTATAATGGATTTTCATCAAGTATCGGTCAGTTAGTTCTATCATCATATATTTCCACTAGAACGGAATTTCTATAGTTAAGATTGAATCAACTACTTACTAGTTATAGGAATGTCATTGTAACAAAAGCAGATGTTACTCTTCTAGAGTATATAATTCCTTCACGAAAGTTTGAAGTACAAACTTAATTTGAAAAAGTGCTTTCCATATACTCAATGAATGTAGGAATATTCGGAAATGACTGTTTTTGAACTCTTTCTATTAGTTAGTTTATCGATTTGTACCCAAAAGTAGGAGCTCAACATATCTTAATGAATAATTTTTACTGGTGTATTTTATTTTTATTAATTCTCTTCCACGGTCTACCTATGAAATAACAGAGAAGTAGAAGTTATAAAATAAATACAAAGAGGTATCCAAAAGTTAGTAATATGTAGGAAAATACCAAAACAAAGAATTCGGAGATTACTTCAAGATAGTTTGGAATAAAAATATAAGTATTTCCTTTCTGTATCACTTTCTATTCTACCTAGCTAGTTGAAATTTTCAAGTTCCTGATGTATTGTTTAAATCCCAATATCCGCTCTGAAGTACTTAATGAAAGTCTATGAAATACTCACCGTTGTTGGAAGAGGAGTTAAATACTCTGGCCTCAAGTATTGGTTGGTTGATGTCAACATAGTGTCGGTGAACTTCCCATACGCTTCAGTACACCACACAACTAAAACACCGTCACGAAACACTGCTGTTCACTCGCGTATCAACGAGTACTTCTTCCGTTCAACGACTATTGCATGACTGACTGTCGGCTACAAAGCAAGGTAGGTTCTGCGCGACAAGCGCTCTCTACCGTCGATGACGTCACGCATTGTGTTTCATCCCCGCTCCTGTAAGTTTTGACACCCTCGACCGCAGATCACCATGTTATTGCTTCTACTATTTGCTTGTCGACACTCTTTCATCTTTCCATTGCTCTTTCTGTGTTTCTGTAATACACGTTTAATATTTAGATGTCGCTGAAAGGCTCTTTGAGAGCTTCCTTTCGTTAATTGGAATTGGAATATTTGTTGGAATTCATTCGTTACCGTATCTTGTAGGAGCTTATTTTTTTTAGGATAGTCGTCAAGATGACAGTTATTTATAATGGAATCATTTTTATAAAAATTAGCATTTCTGAGTGGAGCGATTCTCTCAACATTTGATTTTTTAGCCGGTCCATAAATAAAGAAGTTATATTCATTTGAAAAATTACTTCAAACTTATGATGGAAATAAATAATATAAAAATACAAAAGAGTTGATATGGCTGAAACTTGATGAAACTTGCAAAACCACGAGAACATGTTGCTGTTAAAAAATGTGGGAAAACCCAAAACTGAAATCCTCTAGAAAGAAATCGAAAATCAATAAACTTTTCAAAGAATTGAACGTTGAATTAATTTGAACTTCATGCAGACTTGAGTGATGACACTGTGTACTTGTTTATGTCTCAATTATGATATTTTAATTATTGATACGAAGAATATTTAGTGGCATCAAAATTTCTTACTGATTATCATTTCATTTTGGGTGACATTAACATTAACATATTAGATGAGGATGATCAGTTGGTGTCTGACTATTTGAACATACTTTATGAATTTGATTTTGTTTCAACAATAAATGGAATAACAAGAGATGCTTCAGGAACTTGCTTAGATCATATTTTTGTAAGAAGTAAAAATTATGAATTATCCAATAATTTGTGTGCCCCCTGTATTTATAAGTCTGCACTCACTGATCATTCATCGACAATTCTACATTTGCAACAGGGTGGCATTGGGAAAGACTATTCGGGACAGCAAATTCAAAGTTTGTATACGAAAACTATAAATTATAATAACTTAAAACATTCTTTAAAGCATTATGACTGGACTACATTCTATGATATTCAAGATATAAATAAATTAGCTGAAACTCTTATGAAAGTAGTGAAAACAAATATAGATAATAATACTCAAAAAATTAAAATAAATGCCAAAAACAAACATCGAAAACAGTGGATTACAAATGGTCTGGTAAAATCTATAAACAAGAAAGACACACTTTATAAAGAACATAAGAAAAACCCAAATGACTTATTTAAAAAACATGAATTTATTAATTATAAAAACAATTTGACAACACTGATCAGAACAGCCAAACGTAACTACTACCAAAATAAAATTGATGCATCTAAACATAATTCAAAAATTCTGTGGAACACTGTAAATGAACTCACAGGCAAAACAGAAACAAATAACAGTATAACAGAAATACATAATGTTCAAGGAAACTCTATCACTGATTCTTTTGAAATAGCTACGGAATTCAATAACTATTTTTCCAATGTAGGACCAGAACTTGCTAATAAAATACCGCGGACTTCAAATTGTAAACATNGTATGTTGTTCTTTTTTTTGTATTGGCAAATCCTGTTGTTTGCAATGGTTTGTAGTTCTTTTTGTTTATTATTATTTTTATTAACTACTACATACAAAAGTTTTATTTACTGTCTAGATTATTTCTTCTGTATTTCTTTTTTGTTTGTTGCTATAGTTTATTTCATAAAATACGTATATTTTTTTAATCGAAAATTTTGGCAGTTTCATCGCATACAAGCTCTGCTTTCGCGATGTTCTGTGTTGGTGTTTATTTGTATTATTTGTTTATTATTATCTTTTCAGAAATTGATATTTTATGAATTAACCTTATACGGAGTCAAAAATAAATGAACTTGATATCACATGCAATCAAGTTTCAATAACCTTATATGGAGTTTGTTGAAAAACATGCATTTAATATGTCATTAATATTCCCATGATTGCATGGGAATATTGGTGTATACAGTGTAGTCTAGAAAACAGGTATCACTATTCAAAATTTAGGAAATTTACATCATTGAATAGGTCTCTAAGAAACGCAACTTTGCCACAATTTGACCGACACTATATCTCTTATCGTTTACGAGATCCCCATGTACAGAAACGAATTTGAATAGTATAATCGACGATTCAGATGTAGAAACATCATTCCTATATCTGAAAATGAATAAATCTGAAAAAAATATATAATTTCTATCTAAAAACTTTTTTTCACGAATAAATAAGGTAAGTTTTAAGTTTTTCATGTTTTAGGGACATAATCAATTATAAACGACTAGCTATCATGTCATTGAATGATAGACGATTTGTGAAAGAAGGGGGTGTAATTTCACTGCATTAAGGATTCCCTTTCGCGAAGGAAATTATTCATAGATATTTTATGTTCTATATCAACCATATCAATCTACTTTCTCATATTTTGAGTCCAAATGACGACTTAACATTTTCAAAATATTGTATGAATGCTCAGGATACTTTTGCAATTTGTTTTTAATCACATCATAGTGAATACCATATTAATTCTCACTGTAATAGTTGTAATAGTTGTATATAGTTGTTGTATATGTTGCTTGACGTTTTTTGGTAGGTGATTAGTGACATCTTGATTTGTGATGAGTGATCGGTTTCTGCAATCCTCATTCAAATATTCACATATAAAAAACTAAATCTATAGTTTTTTTATTTTGACGGCATCGACTTCAGAATAATTAGTTTCTTCAATGTTATACATAAAATTTTTGTATATTATAGATCATTGAGTGGTGCGGTTTTTCGTGTATCGTTTGTATTTCATATGTTTGTTAATATATTGCCTTCTTTCGAAAAAATACTAATTCATCACGTTCTGGTTTTAGTTTTCCTAGCTATGTTTTTATGTCTATAGTTATTAATGATATTCTGCCGTAATAATACTGAAATTAATAGAAAATAAGCCCTAAATTTGAGTGTCAACACAACTAAACAAAGATGATGGATCAGAAGTTCGGACCTCTATCTTGGTTGAGGCACAGAGTTTTCCCACCTAGTTGGAAACTCAATGTACTTCTTGGGTTCGCTTCAAAGTCGCAAATACTACTTAACCTCTTGAAACTACTAGAATAAGTCATTGCAAGAGATCTTCCTCAACAACTTCACAATATTCATGTTGTTCAAGACTGATTAATTTTTCTGCAAATTGAATAACGGCACAGACCGAAATATTTTCATGGCCGACCATGATGATGTCTTCCACATCTTTTTTTAACATGGTTGACGATTCTTGACATGAGATGCAGCCCATTGCTAAAAAACAAGCGATAATTACATACAGTTTTCAAATGCCTAACCTAGATCTCACATCAAATGCATTCAATCATTCCTATGAGTTACCTCATGATCAACAAAATAGTCAAAGTAAGACGATTTTCGAAATGGACATTCAACTTCTAGTAGGACCAATGAAGGCTAAAAATAAAGATATAAGTTTATCATTTAGTCCTGTTTGAATGCCACAGCACAGGTGATTTCAAATTGGGGTGGAAGTAACCAGGATCAATTCAATGCCACTAAAACTCAGGCATCGGTTTTCTCCAAAACGATAAATGTCTCCGAACCGGATACAATAATGTTAGGACAGCCAATTCCGCTTTATGATTCGATAAGTTTGTTGGGGGTTGAAATAGACACCAATAAGTTTTGGCAAAATCATGTCGCTGGAATTGCAAAGGCTACTTATCAAAAGCTTGAACACTGTTTCGAACCAGAAAACTGTACAAACCTCAGCATCTTTTGATACCTAAACATACCCTGAAGTTGCTGGATTCCATCCAGAAAAGAGTTATCTGCCAAACTGGAGACGCGTACATCACTCGCAACTTTGATAGTCTTTAATATCGAGGGAAAGTTGGAGATTTTTCCCTTTTTTATGGATACTTTCACGGAATGTTCAAGTGACTTGGCACGTTAGTTTTCACCAAGAGCGATACATATCAGAAATACGCGACGGATTGTGGATACCCATAGTGCTCATCGTTTCGAGGTTCAACTCAGTACGCCTCGAACTTCACTGTTCAAATACTCTTCCATTTGAAGAACGACGTTTATGTGAATTAAACTTCCTGAGAACTTTTTTCCAAATGAGTTTGATCTTCAGCGATTAGCATCCAACGTAAATCGCGACTTTTGCACCGCTCCTGTTAAGAATTTTCCTGTAGTGCTTGTATTTTTTTCTTAAAAAAAGTAGGACGATATTCGTAATCCATCAGGAATATCATCCTACTCACCATATTCAACTCCATTTGAGACGAATATAGGTTAAAAATGGAGACACAAATGAATATAGAAAATATTTACCATTTTATACTTATAATGCACTGTTTGGTATATATACCTTTGGTGTAGTAACGAATATTACTGGAGTTTTATCCCAACATCAAACCGTTATTTTCAACACCGGTTGACGTGTTTCAATCACCAAGTGATCATCTTCAAGAAGAAGATTAAACTGAGTTCAATCTTCGGTATTTGGGTTCATATAGAAGCATTATGAATTTTTAATCTCCCTTTTTTCGAAAAGTCGATGCATCACGGAGATATACCTCAATTTTTTGTTTTCCAAATAATTTATCAACTATGTTTGATGGACACCCGTTGCTTTCAGCCACCTCCCAAAAAACTTTTTTCTCAATCGCTTACCTTTCTTTGCTCAAGGGAAATGTGAGCAGTCTATGGACAAGAAATTGTAGTCCTGCCATTTTTTTGTTGTGGGAGCAGTTAGGTATATACTTGAAACTGCTCGTATTCTTTCCATATACATCAAACTCTAGACACTTATCGACATTTTCAATAACTGTAGTAAATCCAGGAATTGTCGTTCTTCGTTATTTTTTTCAATTTCATACGTGAATTTCATATTTGCAAATCAACAACAGAAGAAAATGCGGTCGAGAAACCTTTATAGTGTTGGGAAAGT